GAGGCCTCGCCCGCCGTCCGGCGCAGGGCGCAGGCCTCGGGCACCTGGTCTGGGGGCCAGTCGCCGCAGCTGGACAGATTGTGATCTTTGTTTTCCCAGGCCGGGTTCCCCTTCCTGGTCTCTTGTCCCGCTGGGCGGGTTTTTGAGGAGACAGTTTTCCTGGTTAGTTTTACACAAAGGAAGTGTTTTCTGCACCTCTGACGCTCCCTCCCCTTCCCCAAGCCTTGTACCTTCTCATTTCCCTGCTCTGCTCAGACTCTCCCCTTTTGGACCTTTGCTCTTTCCTGCCCGGGGAATGATCTCCAGTTGGGTGTTTCTCAGCCAGTTGGGCTGCTAGCTTCCTTCCGCCCGGGGCATGGGGTGTCGGCAAATAGGGGCCACAGCCCCACACCTGAGAGGAGAAGGACAGCAGTGGCTGAGAAAGGACAGGCCTGGGAATTCAGGATGCCCCGTAGAGATGGTACTTATGAAATGTCCCAGAAAACACCCTGGTGACTTAGCTGCTGCACCCCCCCCACCCATTATCTATCACCAACCATTCCAGAATGTTTACTGCTTAAGTGAGCCTTTCACCTGCAGGTTCCCGATGTGGTTTCTTTAAGATTCCCACAAATGTTGGGCCAGACCAGCAAGGTTGTTTCGTTTCCCAGACTCAGGAAGTTATAGATGGTTTGATTAGGGAAAATATGTTGAGTGTAAATAGGATGTGGAGATATATAGATTGCCCAGACCTCCTAACCCTAACGAGGGTGACTCCTTCCTTGGTGTGATTCATATTTGAGTGGCTGACTGAAGGTAAAGAAGTGGAGGAGGGGAGGAAACAGCTCCTTAAGGACAGAAACTCCACTATTATTTTTAGAGCCCTCTTAATGAAGATTAAAGAATGTTGTGGTATAGTGGAAAGTGCCCTGGACTGGAAGTCAGCAGGCACATTTTCTTGTGTCAGCTTCGCTTCTGTGTGATCCAGGAAAAATTATTTTCCCTCTCTGGTCCTCAGTTTATTCATTTACAAATAAGAATTTGGGATAGTCAGTCTAAAATCCCTTCTCGTTTCAAGGTTCCATGGTTTTCAAATTATCAGTATTAATTCGGAAGCATAGAATTTAAGAAATACTGGGCTCCTCCTTATTTGGAGAACCTTTGATTATTTCTCCTTTTAGAGGACAAACTTGAAATAAACTTTTCCCACTTTCCCATCTCCACTCCTTCAAGCAGTGTTCATCTTTCTGCCTCTGGCAACGGAGGTTTGAACTGCATCTTTTTGTCTCATTTTTTCCCTTTTTTGTGCTTTCTCTTAGGACTAGAAATTGGACTTTTGATGATGTTTGACCCAGCAGCGGCAATAGCAGGCAACGTGACTTTGAACCTGGCCTCAGCCTCCATTTCTTCTTGCTTGTAATCACAAAGCCCATTTTGGACCAGGAATTCCAATCATGTCTGTGATGGTAGTGAGAAAGAAGGTAACAAGGAAGTGGGAGAAACTCCCAGGCAGGAACACCTTCTGCTGCGATGGCCGCGTCATGATGGCTCGACAAAAGGGCATCTTCTACTTGACCCTCTTCCTCATCCTGGGGACATGTACACTCTTCTTTGCCTTCGAGTAAGTTTTCTGATTATGAGTAGAGTTGCCATATTCTTTCTTGGGGAATTTGTGGCCAGTCCTTGGATGATTTTACTGTCCTCTGGAATAATGTCTACAGATAATATCAACTGAGTTCATTGTTTTGTGCTTACAGCAGAGAATGTGCTTCTGACAAAGACCAAAATTTTGATACCAATTTTATAGTGCTGATTTGGGGTTACCCCCAATAAACTTGGGAAATAAGGGAGTTTATTTGAATTACTCACCTCTCCCTTGCAATGACAGGAACTTGAGTGGCACACTGACTCCTCTGTACCCTTTCCAAGTCTAGGCGAACCCCCTCGTCAAAACTCAGTCTGTCATTTTGGGTCCTGTATCTTTAGGCTCAAGCTTCCAGCTAGCTGTGAAGTTGAAAAGCCAAGTGAACTGGGAACCTGCAGATTGGTTCTAGCCTCAGATGTACCACAAATGGGCTGGGGCCACAGCACATAAGTGCTTTTACAAAGTGAGTTGCTCTTTCTTTCCCTCAAAGTTGTTTAATGTAAACAACTCTATTCTGTGTATGCCTAAGGCCAAACTTGAAGTTAGTTTTTCTGTGATGTAGTACCTAATACTGGAGCCACTGTTTGAAGTCTGTGTAGGTCACTGCTCTAGGGAGGTGGCCAGTTGGATTCTAGGGCACTGTGGCATGACTACTAGGTGTGCTGAGAATGCTCTACACTCTAGGGATGGGAGCAGTGCTAATTGTTTTGAGATTACTATAAGGAGATCTTACTATAAGAGATGTATATATAGAGACAGAGAGCCACACCTGATGTGAGCCTGTCGTGGTTCAGGTCCATCGGTGACCTGGAAATGGAGCTTTCATTCTGGGGTATGGCCAGAGGAGGCATGAAGGGGCTCTTTGGCCTCGCTTTATGGGTAATTAAAATGGACTCCAGTCCCTTAGGGCTCATTTTTTGTATTATAAGGGCTGCAAGATTTCCCAGTGCATCCAGAGTGATTTTCAAGCTGCTTTGCCAGACTTTTTGATGGTTGCAGCTGGCTCGAGTAACAGTAGGAGAAAGAGGGGCGTGCAGTTTGTTACAGGACTGGCTAAGTAAGATCAGAAGAGCGCTTTGTTAAAGGTCATTTTGCTGTTACTCATGCTATTATTGCTGACTTTGTGAAGTATTTGGTGAAATTGAGTAGGTTGCTAAAGGCTTCTTAGCTGCTTTTCTGTATGAGTTTCATGGTGTGTGTACTTGTGTGCACGCACAATGTAAGTGTGTGTGGTATGCATGAGCATGTGCAGTCCGGCAGGCATATACATAACACAAAACAATTTGTTTCCCTTTTCCTCACCCTGCTCCCCAAGTTTTCTTTGCTTTATTCCTGCCATCTTGTTGGAAGGGCAACGCTGAGCTCTGCTGTCATTCCCTCTTTCACTCTTTTTATTCCCCCTACATCTGTGGTTAAATTTTTATGGTTGGAATCATTCCTGACAGAAATGAAATTTGTTTCCAGGCTGTTGGAGAGCTAGTAACTTTGGGCCCAGGAAACCTCTGGTTGGACTGGCCAGGAAAACTTGGAATTTGGAATCATTGCTGTTTGGCCGTTTTTGTATCTGGGAGTCAGTGAGAGATTGACTTGGGTCTGTTTCACTTAGGCCCCTGAAGAAAACTGCCCATGGGATGAAACTTATGATTAGTCAAGTTACTATTTGATAGAGTCAGGTTGAGTTTTTTTTCCAAGATGATTCCCTGCTTCAACTTATTTCTTGTGTTTTGCCTGTAGATACAAAAGGTGAGGTTGTTTGTAAAACTGCCTTTAGTTACAACTGTCTATATGAAAGAATCAATCTTTTGATGTTAGGGTGGAGAAAGGAAGAAGAGAAGGAAGTAAATAGGTTAGTTGAGAAGTGGAACAGGGAAGTATAAATCCGACCAAAAAGGAGAGAACTCTGGTGATAGACCCCTTTTATTGAGAATGGCAGAATGTGTGTGTGTGTGTGTTTGTGTATCTCTGCCCTGTACAGATACATGGATATTCTAAGTGGTGGCTGCTTTGTGCCTAGCCAGTGACACATTGTATAAGAGGTACACTAGCAGGCCTCTGAGGAATTTAAATCTGTCTTTTTCTTTGGAGTCTAATTTGCTATCGATGCATAGTGGAAGTTATGGCTTGAGGGGCAGAACATGGGCTCTATTGTTAGTATTACAACCTAATGAGACCTCACTAAATTAGCTGATCTGGCCTCCTGCCTTCAAACAGGTACAGTTAAATTGTCCAGGAGTATAGACTCCAGGTCTTCTGGCTGATGTATTTTTGCCTTGTAGGAAGATGGTGCAACTTTTTGTTTTTTTGTAAGACAGGGTCTCACTATGTAGTCCAGAATGGCCTTGAACTCACTGCATAGCCCAAGCTTGTCTCAAACTAGCGGCAATCCTCCTGCTTCAGCCTTCTGAGTGCTGGGATTACAGGAATGTGCTACCATTCCTGGTTTAGATAGCCCAAGCTTGAGACACATCTGGATCTGTTTTAGTGACAGGGTCCTGCTTGAAGCAGGTGCTTAGGAACCAGTGTGAGTTGATTTACCCTATGCCTGTGGTATAACTCTGGGTCAACCAGATGGCTTGAGAAATCTGGGCAGGCATGTGGGTGCCCTTAATAAAAAACATGCAGAGTTAGTAATGCCAGTGAAAGGCCTGTATTTTTAGATTTTGCCTTTATGAATCTTGATTTTTTTCAATGATTTTTTAAAAATCTATGATTTTTAGGGGCCGGGGATTTAGCTTAGCAGTTCAGTGGCCTGCCTTGCAAGCGCAAGCACCTGAGTTCAATCCCCGGTACCAAAAAAAAAAAAAAAAATCTATGATTTTTAGGGGCCGGGGATTTAGCTTAGCAGTTCAGTGGCCTGCCTTGCAAGCGCAAGCACCTGAGTTCAATCCCCGGTACCAAAAAAAAAAAAAAAAATCTATGATTTTTAGGGGCCGGGGATTTAGCTTAGCAGTTCAGTGGCCTGCCTTGCAAGCGCAAGCACCTGAGTTCAATCCCCGGTACCAAAAAAAAAAAAAAAAATCTATGATTTTTAGGGGCCGGGGATTTAGCTTAGCAGTTCAGTGGCCTGCCTTGCAAGCGCAAGCACCTGAGTTCAATCCCCGGTACCAAAAAAAAAAAAAAAAATCTATGATTTTTAGGGGCCGGGGATTTAGCTTAGCAGTTCAGTGGCCTGCCTTGCAAGCGCAAGCACCTGAGTTCAATCCCCGGTACCAAAAAAAAAAAAAAAAATCTATGATTTTTAGCGAATTAACAGTAGGTTGAACACAAAACAAAAACATGTTGTTTACCCTGGAGCTAGTGAGCTCTGTATTGTTAGGAGTGTTTCCGAAGAAGCTGGGTGGCCATCCCTCAGGGCTGCTGTCACAGAGCTACATAGTCACTAAACCTCTTGCAACTCTGAATCTGTCTGGGAGATTCAAATACACACAAAAGGACAGTATAGACTACCAGTAAGTAGCTGTATTTAAATGTAATTGTATTCATGGGAGATGTATTTAAATTCAGAAGCAGAGTGAAAATTGTGTAATGCTTAAAGAAAAAGGATTTCCTAATTAATTCTGAGGATAAGATATTTAGGAAATGTGTGTGTATGCTAGTTGCAGCTTTGAGCGCAGGAACCATTTTCAATTCTTTCTACTTAATTCTGTTTCTACTTTCTACTTCAATTCTTTCTTCTGTCCAGCTTGTGTGGTGAACATATAGCTATCAGTTTAGCCTACAGTGTTAGGGTGCTATAGTAGAATGATACTGACAACCTGTGAGCTGTCTAGCTTCTGAAAGACTATTGTGATATTTGGTTAAACTCACCCTCCTCATAAAGCTTTGGTGCTCCGGGAAAGGACCAAGTGCTTTGTCTTTTGGAATTGGCTTCCTAGCTTTCTCTTTTAAATTTGTGACCAGACTTCTAGTGAGGTCGGTTTCCCCAGGCTTTTCTTATGGCAAGAAAGGCATGACTCTTGACTGCTGAAATAGAAACAGCTTGATGCTATGATCAGTGTTTATGCTTGTACTGTACTGTATATGAAAGAATCATATCCAGGTGCTGTCACACCAGTTTCTATCAGACTTGGCCCCATGGGTGATTTTTTTTTACTGTACTGGGGATTAAACCTGGGCCTTCACACTGAGCTACATCCTCTACCCCTTTTTTTTCATTTTAAATTTTGTGACAGTTTCTCATTAAGTAACCCAGGCTGAACTTGAACTTTCAGTCTTCAACTTCAGCCTCTCAGAGTGCTGGGATTACAGGCATGTGTCAGTCACCACGCCCATCTTCAGGTGCTTTTGATGTACATATGTTGTCAGAAGAGTCATTGAATTAGTTGAACCAAAAAAAGCTTTGTAGCACTGCTTGATAATTGTGGCACTTCTAGTCCATTCAAATTCTATCCCTCTTTCAAGTTCTTTTAATTGTATATAAGACTCATTATAACAAAGAATCATGTAGCATTTCTTACATTTCTTTCTTTTTTCTTTTTTCTTTTGGTACCGGGATTGAACTTGGGTCCTTGCGCTTGCAAGGCAGGCCACCAAACCTCTGAGCTAAATCCACGGTGTACATTTCTGAATTTTATTTCACTTATCCCTCACAGCTAGAGGGAGCTCTATCAGGGTCAGGGATTATCTTCTACATCTGTGTAGTGCCTGCAGTGGTCTCCCCCAAACTTTACATGGAATATGTGGTCAATAATATTGCATGAATACAATCTGGGTGCACTTAAAAATGATTTTTGCAGTGTTGGGGAACCCAAGGCCTCATGAATGCTAGGCATGGGCTGTACCACTAAGCCACACCTGTCCTCCTCAGCATTTCAAATTTAACAGTTTAGCTGGGCATGGTGGCGCACGCCTGTAATCCAAGCACTTGGGAGGCTGAGGCAGGAGGATCGCTGTGAGTTCGAGACCAGCCTGGGCTACATAGTGAGTTCTAGATCAGTCTCAACTACATAGTGAGACCTTGTCTCAAAAAACCAATA